CACCTATTATTCTTTAAATTATTCCAGAATATTTGGCCCAAGCCTACCCTTTAGCTGTACCAAAACAAATGCATAGGTCAGCTTATTAACAGAAATACAATTACATGAATTGCTTACCTTAACAGTATAATAGTCTGGAATCACTATTGACCACTGTTTATCACTGTATATCTTTGTTTACTTATGTTTACCTGTGTTTAACACTGTAAATCACTGTTGACCAATGTTTACCACTGTATATCTTTGTTTACTTATGTTTACTTGTGTTTAACACTGTAAATCACTGTTGACCAATGTTTATCACTATATATCTTTGTTTACTTATGTTTACTTGTGTTCAACACTGTAAATCACTGTTGACCAATGTTTACCACTGTATATCATATGTATGTATGTATTTAGCTACCTATGTTTATTAATGTTAGCCACAGTTTCAATGCTTATCAATGAGGTTTACTGTTGTTTACCCATTTGTATGTTTTAATCATGCATCCTTACCATACTTAATATTAGCTCTTTTAACCATTGATGTTTACCATGATGACAGTAAACTCAAGAGTTTGGATACATCATTGGTCTTAAATCAAGCCTCATATGGAGACTCAACAAAGCCAGTGAAGCCACACCTAACATTCCAACAAATTAATTATCACTTTAGACCACACCCTCCAGTCAGTTTTATTAGTGACCACGTGCAGAAACGTGGTCATACAGCACACAAAATGTGGTAGTCCCACAAAATTCCAGCTATGTACATATACATGTAGTTGCTTATCATTGACTGAAATTGAAAATGTTTCTACATGTATTTGATACATAGACATGTACACGTACATGTACATGTAATACATTGATAGGCTCACATAGCAGGTGTCATTTTGCTTTATGGTAAGCATGAAACTTGATTTGAAATCAAGATCACTCACTTTGACTGTCGTTATATCAAATTTCTATAAAATAAAATGAAATAAAATCACTGAAATAACCTACTTGCATGCACATGAAATAATTTTAATTAATTGTGTGGGTGCATTAAAGGCCATACTCATTCATAAAGTACATTCAAAAATACTTTACGCCCACACAGATAATTATGTACCAAACCTGAATGACGTCTGATGTTGAAATGAGACAATATTCATCAACTAGTTTGACTGTTGGCTCAAGTAATACTTCATCTTTCATACAAGACATTTTAAAACCTAAAAATGTAAAATATCAACATTAAAATGGATGTACAAAGGTAATTTTGTAAAAATTATCAACTTATTACTAAAATTTAATTCTTAATTGTTTGTTTAGATCCTACTCTTGTTACAATAATAATAATAAACTGCTCACCTCTAACCGGCATTCTCCCAGAATTTGATCTTTGAGTTATATTCATATCCATCTCCCATGGCAACTAGACTCATGTTACACCTGTTGGGATAAACTGATGGAAATAGAGAGTGAGAGAGAGAGAAAATTTAATAATTGCCAAACTCATAATTAGCAAGTTCCGATCAAAATTCTTAAATTTGCTCAAAAATTTGATCAAAGTCTCTGTACATGGTGAAACTCAGGCCAAATTTTGCCAAAATTAAAAAGAAGAGAATTCTCCATTTTTATATTTTCTCCAGATACATATACATGTTCTTATGTTGTGTAACAAGTTTGAGTTGATTCTGATTAAATTTGGATTTTTTTACAAATTTCCAAAGTTACTCAAAAATCGGACAAAAGTCCCTGTACTATTAGTAACGCGGTAGCGTTACTAAGTAGGATTCACCCCAAAATAAAATGGCTGCCGCTACTTTTGCAGCCTTGCTATACCGGGAAAACAAGCTCCTATGCTTACCAGACTTCTTAGAGGACCTTATCTTGACCAGAGGATTCCAATGGTACCACTAGCGTGGCTTTAAACCTTGTCTAACCTGAAAGTGGAAAATCGGCAAGATGACAGTTTTGTTCAGTCCATTTTTTCGTCTTCATCTCCTGTCAATCAAGTTTCCGTGTGTATCTCAATACTGGTTGGTGCTAGAAGGATAATTCTTACATCATTCTACTCCAACAGTCTATGCGCAGGTCCATGTCTCATCAGATCATTCTCCAAAAAGAAAGACGTGATACTATGAGTGTTGGGTCAGTCAAAACTTGCCTCATGCCGCCATTTTGTTAATTTAAGAAACATGTGCTCCAATATTTGGGTGTGGTTGCGCATGCTCAGAGCTCAGAACTGGGAAAAGAATTAATTTTTTTACCTAGCTAGGCTAGCTTTGCTTGGATTCAGTTGCAATACTTAG